AGTGATTCAAGCACTTAACATATTGTCTGGTACTTGAAAAAGACTTGTTAAATGAGAGAACTAATTATGGTAGGACTTTTTGAGGAAATCTCTGGAAGGGATATGATTGAGATCCTCTCAATGCATGAGGCCTAAGCAAAAAGAGCCTCTTTCTTAAAGTTGATGGAGACAATGAAATCAGAGGATAATGAAGTTGGTCTATTAAGGAAAAATGAAAACAGAACTGAGATTCTTAAGTTTGTCAATTAGCATGACTCTCTAATCCAGGAGCCAAGATTAGAGGATGAGCAGTTACCTGGGAGTAAACAGATGTTCTGGAACAATTATTTGGTTGTTCTGGATTATACCACAGTTTTGATGTGGTATATACTTAGAGCCAGAGGCTGGATTGAAAGTTCTCCATGACACTCTAAGTTACATAAGACATTTTCTATCCATCTTATTTCCCCTTCCGTTCAGTAGAGGTTGCTTCTATTGAACAGTTGGGGTTCTTACCCTCTTTCACTCTAAAAGTTCATTAGCTTGCTTGCTTCACTTCTATCTGTACAATTTCCTATATGATAAAGAGGGAATATGAAAATTGAGCATCGCTCCACCACAAAGATGGCGGCACCCACAGTGTTTCTATAACACGAGATGACTGGGCCCACAGCAAAGGTTTCCATAACACAAAGGTTTCCATAACGGCTGCACCCAAAGCAGAGGCTGAGTCCCTATAAGGAGCCTTAACAAGTAATCAGCAGGGACCCAAGGCTGCACTCCCTTGCCCCCGCCCCCATGGGGCTTGACAGGGGACCTCAGGCTGTGCCCGCCACCTTGCGGAGCTTGATGGGGGACCTCAAGGTGCTCCCTCCCAACCTGGCCCAGGCTGGGGGACCTCAGGCCGCACTCCTCACCCTGGCGCTGGGCCTGGGGACCTGAGGCTGTGCCCCCTACCTGGTGGAGTTTTACAAGGGTGGGCCCAGCCTCGTCTGGATCTAACCCAATGGGGGGCCGGCAGGTCTGGGTCTTGTGTGATTTTGAGGTGCATGTGGGTGGGTGGGGACTTGACTCTGGATCCCTTGGTGTGCCTCAGACTGATAGGAGGAAGATTTTCATATACCTTTTACTGATTTTCTTTCATCTCTGACACTTATATTATAGAGAAAAGGCAAGTAGCAATATTAAAAGATTTCCTCTAATTAATCCCCTTTTAATGTTCATGAATTTCATTCACGGGGCCACTAGTTTCTATTATAAAACTCCATCTTAGTCTAGTAGTTTAGTGAATGAGCTTTATTGTTATGTCCAAACCCTCCTTTTTACTTCTATTTGTTTGACTTTGGTTAAATGACTTACCATCTCTGCAGCCTCAGTTGACTGATCTGTGAAATGAGGAAAATTAGAGTTCCAATCATTTAATAACACATTTTTGTTAGTAAAGTGGCCAAAGTGTGGGTATTTCTCTTATACAAAAGAAGTAAACCAGTATAAATATTATCAATGTTGGCTTAAACCCAGAAAGTAATTTTCTATTTTCAGTCTTGATTTGATTACCCCATAAGGTGTCATGAACTTAAATGCCAATAGAGGCCAGGAAAGTGAATGAGTTGCACCATTTAAATAATTTGCCTATGAAACACATAGGTTTTTCTTTTCTACATTTTCACATTTTTCAAGAGAATCTAGAAATTTGGTTTTTAATGCAAAGTTTTCTGATTTTAAATGTTGGCAATTAAGAATTTTAACTTGTAGTAACTCTGAGTAAAAGCCTATCTATAGAATCTAATATAGTCCATAGGATGCTGATTTTCAAATTTATGCCTTTTATCTTGTGACCAGAGGCCCAGTGCATTGGATTCGTGCACTGGGCATGGCATGTGGGCATCGATCCGCTGTGAAAGCGCTGCCCACCCTGGTCAGCCGAGTGGCTGTGGACCCACCTTCCCAACAGCTGCTCCCTGGTCTGGCATCTTCTGTGGAGCCAGAGCACCCGCCTCTCCAGGGGACCCAGTCTGGGCTGGGCTCAGGGACAGTAGCACTGAGAGGTCATTCCACCATTCGGTCACTGGGCTTTCGTTATATAGGATTAGCTCTCTATGGTGCTTTATTAGGAACACCTAAGAATTGCTTTAAAAATATGTTTAATTTTTAAAGAGACGTCCATTCTTTATATTCTTATTAGAGGCCCGATTCATGAATTCATGCATGGGTGATGTCCACCCAGCCCACCTCAATGGGGGCCAATTGGGCTAGGCTGGTAAGAAGTGGGGATGTGGAGGGTTGGCCAGCCAGCCAACCCACCCTCAATCAGGGTGAAATGGGCCCATCAGGGCTGGGGCCAGATGGGAGGAGGGGCCGAGGGCAATTGGCTACCAGCCCTACTCCCTGGTGGAACTCGCAGTTGAGGGGACAATTTGCCTATTAGCCTTTATTATATAGGATTCTTATTTTTGGTCTAAAATATTGGATGTCAAAGTATGAGTCATATACCAAAAATGGCTATGTAGGTGGTCTGTAATACAACGTCGTACAGACACATGAGAGAGCCTAGATAAAGCTCCCAGCCAGCATTGGTAGAAATAGGAGGGAGTTTTAATAAGAGCTAGTTTACTGCGAGAAACTCATTTATCCTTGATTGAGCAGCTTCATAAAGAAACCATAATTGATAACCCTGTCTTCCTTGTTTGTGTATTGCTCTGACAAAGGCCACAGCCTATCTTGTGTATGGGAGGAGGGACTAAGAAAGCCTCACTGAAGATATCTAACACCTGGTTCATTCTTCATCCACTACAGAAAGACATCGCTTAACACTTACTAAAACTTCTCTGCTGTAGCACAACTGGCATAGATAGCCTATAAGTATAGAATGAATTAAAAAATTCTGGCTTCTGAATTTTTAGCTTCTTTTTTTTTTGGAGCTGAACATTAGATGATGCAAATAAATGGGGTGGTAGCCATAGTCTCTATCATTCCTTCTGTTGAAACCCCTAGGCACCTTCACTCCGTGCCTGAGGTTTCTCATCTGTAAATGGAGATTATAGTCATCCCAGCAATATTGGATTGTTACATGGGTTAATTTATTTAAGAATTAACATGTAAAGCATTTAGAAGAGTCCTTAGCATATGTTAAACACTCAGTCAGTGTTAGTTGTTGCTGCTATATCTTTTGTATGTGCTAAGGTTTATTGTGCTGCTTTAGGGTTTTGACTAACAAAAGAATAAGAATGATTACCTGAAAGGATGCCAATGTCAAGGTTTGGAAAGAAAAGTAAGCACAGATTCAAAGTAAAGAGGCCTAACCCCCACATCTATTCCTGTCACCCGAATGAATCTGTTAACCTCTTTGGGTTTTGGTTTCCTCATTTATAAAATAAGAAGAGTAGATGAGATGTCTTTAGAGGTCCATTTGTAGAACTGAATGAGATGATAGAAAAGGTTTGGGGGGAATTTGAAAGAGGTCATGCTGTAACAAAAGATGCTAAGAGGGGTCAATTTTCTACTTGAAAGAATTGAATATGCTTTCAGAATTTTCTTAGGAAAATTAATGTTCACCATATTGTTCACAGATTTAAACCATAATGCAGTATTTTTCTTAGGCTACCAATTAAATATTTTTTGTCCTTATCCCCCCTCCTCTCCGTAAAGAAAATTAGAATTCTTGTTCCTGCTCAATAGCAAAGAAATTAATATTTAATCTTTTGTCTGTTTAAGTAGCACAAGGGAATGCAGAGGCCAGGTGGCTGAAAAACCACACTTGTTAGCATACATGCTGTAAAATTCAATCCTGTGTTAGTAGGTCAGACACATGAGAACTGAAAAATATGCTGTTTTAAATTGTGAATGACAAAGATAATATTTCATGATTTTGTTTACAAGTCTCATTTATGTAATAGTTGTCTCTCAAATTGATGTTTGTCTATCTTTTTAAAGAATATACTTAAACTTTTATTTTAGTGCCATATAATATCACAAGACAAGAAAATTAGGTTGGTGCTTCAGCTAAGTTTAGGGTATATCAGTTGATTTTTGGATATATATTAATTTTTTTACATCAGTGAATAGCAAGTTTGAAAATTAGGAAGGATCTTATAAATAGTTTTTCCTAAATTGTACTCCTCTGGTAACATCCTAATAATCTATAAAATAGTCTAGAAAGTATGGTTATAACAATTTGCATACAGTTAAGGTTTATATTCTGAGAATTGAGTATCTTGACATAATTTTTGGCTATCCTATCTAATAAAGAGGGAATATGCTAATTGAACCTCATGCCATCGCAAAGATGGTGGTGCCCATAGCCAATAAGGAGGGAATATGCTAATTGACTGCCCTTCCCTCAAAGATGGCAGTGCTCTTAGCCACAAGATTGCAGCACTCAGTCCTCTCAGCCCTGTCAGGGTGGCAGGGTGGCTGTGGGTACCGCCTGGGGGTGGGCTTGGCCACTCTGCCGGCCTGCTCCAGAGTTCCCCAGGCCCCTCAGCCCCAAGCCGCTCAGGGCCAGCCCAAGGCACATGCAAACCTCGGATGGTGGCTGCCCAGCCACCCAGGGACGTCTGAGGCTCAGGTAACCATGGCCGGCCAAGGTTTGCCTTGCTGGCACTGGCAGCAGCAGAGGTGTGATGGGGTGTTGCCTTCCCCTGACCACCAGGTTGCCTCCCACCCCTGAGGGCTCCCACTGTGAGAGGGGGCAGACCAGGCTGAGGGACCCCTTTTCTCCCAGTGCATGAATTTTTATTTTCATGTACTGGGCCTCTAGTAGTTTATAAATAGTTGAAAACAATTTATAACATATGAGAGCTAACTAAGGAAGATACTAGGATTAGTAACTTTCTGTATTTATTTAAAATGTGGTCAAAATAACTATAAATATGTGTGAACTTTCATGACAGTATTTTGGGGTAAGGAGCTTTCAGAGAGTTGAAAGTCTCAGTAATGCTGCTAGCAAATGTAATGGTGCTAGTCACGCAAAGGGAGCGTTTCAAACTTTATTTCTATTTTAATATATTTCAGAGACCATCATGCAGACATCAGAGACTGGGTCGGACACAGGTTCGACAGTGACTTTACAGACATCTGTGGCTAGTCAAGCAGCAGTGCCTACACAGGTGGTACAGCAAGTACCAGTACAGCAACAGGTAAGGAGCTGCTGTTGTCAGAGCAGATGCTGAGCCTTTCGTTGTGCAGACTGTGTTCAAGAATGATTTGAATTATCCTTTCTGGCACAGTGGGTGCTAAGATAGGCCTAGTTCAGTTCATGGGTTAATTCAGCACATGTTTCTTGAGCACTTCCTAGATAGTCTAGATTGTTTTTTGCTAGATTGTAGGGATACCAATGTAAATACTCAAACTATACAATTCCTATTCTGAAAGAGCCTCTTAAATCTTAAAGAGAACATTTGTTTCTGACTTGACTACCTTAAGGAGATTTTAGTCTCCTCTTCTCCCCTCACTGCTCTTTATCACAACTTCCTATTTTTTTTTTCATATTGAAATGTCAGCAATCATGTTTTTCTGTAATTGCCTCACAGCAGTACTTAATAAAGGAGAAGATGGATGTACCTTGTAGGCAGAGATTTTGCCTTTGTGGTATTTTAGAAAGTGCCTGGGTGACTGATAAATGCTTTTTAATGAAAATTAAATTATCTTAAAGGTCTGGAGGTCTGATTCATTCCATTTAAAAAATTGAGAATGAATGAATTCCTCATCACATGTTTACTACAGGGCTGATTCATACTCGGCACTTGGCTTGTTTGGGAAAGACACTGACAAACTAATGCTGTTCAGGCCAGCTAATAGTTCTGCATGTGGGCTGTGAACACATTGGCCTGTCATTTCTTCTGGAGTGGAGAGAAAATAAGTGAGAAAGGTTATGTCACAGAGCATGTTGACATTTTAGATTTTCCCATTTTTTAGTATCAAGGAGAATCTTTAGCAAATCTTGCTCTTACAATTATAAACAAGTAGGGAGAGGAATATCTTTTCCTAAATGATAGAGGGATTCAAGGTTATATTCTTTTCACAAGATGGAAGTTGGTGTGGCAGGAAGAGTGCTAGAATTAGGAAAGTTCTTTGAGTCAGAGTTTAAGATATTTGAAGTTTTGTTTTTAGCTCACCCTCCTGGTCTCTATCACACACACACACACACACACACACACACACACACACACACACTTACACTTAAAGTATGAGTTGAAGTATATGTAATTGCTATCTATAAAAAGCAACAGTTTCATATGATTCAATTTACTAATTGTGTTTCTTATCTTTCTTAATCTTTATTTTTCATAAATAAGTCTACCCAAAATGGTGTTTTAAAAGCCTCTGCTATTTTTGATGTCATCACCAATTTCTGGATGCTAAACATTACTCAGTAAAGGTGGCTTATGACATGTTGTCCAAAGAGCAGGTGGAGAACTGTTAGTTAGGACAGTGTTATATCGTATTTTAAAAAGATAATCTATCAATATTAAGCAAATGAATAATATCACACACTCTGGTTGGATTTTTGTCTCATTTGTGGAAGAGGAATGGTCGTGGAAGTATCTGTCTCTTACAGTAATGTGGTAGACATTATATTCCTATCCCCAGAAAGTGTCCTCTTGAGACAGTGAAATGGCTGCATACCTGCCCCTCTCTCCTGGTCTCTTTCCTTCCTCCCTTCTTTTTTCCCTACCTCTCTCCCTCTTTCCTCTTCTTAAAAAAATCTTCTTATTGAGTTTAGATATCATCAGATAATTACTATGTAGATCTTATATAGTAATTTAAGAAGTCAAATAGTTCGTCAAGTTTATTATTTAAAAAAAACACACACACAAAAAAAAAGAAAAAACAGTCCTCAATCTCCTTCTAATCCTATGAACTTCTCAGAGGCAACTGTTTTTGCCTCTTTCTACCTATTATTTTGATATTTACTTCCATGTTGTAAAAAATAATACTTATTTTATTGTGTTTTTTTTAAATTTATTTTTATTGATTTCAGAGAGGAAGGGAGAGAGAGAGAGAGAGAGAGAGAGAGAGAGAGAGAGAGAGAGAGAGAGAGAGAGAGAAACAACAATGATGAGAGAAAAATCATTGATCAGCTAGCTGCCTTTCCCATGCCCCTCACTGGGATTAAGCCTTCAATCCCATATGTGCCCTGATAGGGAATTAAACTGTGACCTCATGGTTCATATGTCAACACTTAACCACTGAGCTATGCCAGATGCACTATTTTACTTTTTTGTGTGTATTTTAGTTTAACACATTATCATATCATATCTCTCTTTCTGGTTCTTAACACACACACACACACACACACACACACACACACACAAACTTTCCACCCCTTAAGCTCCTGGTATACTATGTTAACTATATTCATTTTTAAATTATCTACAAAAACAACAAACAGTTTCATATGTTTCAACCTAATAATTTATTTTAATTTTGGTAGACCATTACTCAGTACTTATATCTCCATTATGTGTATGAGTGCTATATAAATCTAGCCATATAGTGAACTGTGTAGGTTCCTACAGAACGTACTTGCTGGATTTAATGATCAGATGTTTTCTTAAGGAAGTCTCTCAGAGCATTTTGACCTCTCCAGTCTGGATTCAGTGCCCGTTGCTCAGCTAGGATCTCCTTTTGCCATCATCCTGGGATTGTCTTAGGTTGGCTTTCCTGTTCCCTGACTCAATGTCTTAAATTCTTTCTTAATTTGCTTGAGCACAACTTCCAGTAACTTCCTAAAAAACGGTAAATGTTTTAAGCTCTTATGTGTCTGAGAGATAATTTATTTATCAGTTGTTTTATAGTTGAATGGGTACAGAGTTTTAGATTGGAAATAATATTTTTCAGAATTTTGAAATGATTGCTATGGAAAAGTCAAACACTACTCTAATTCCTGATTTTTGTGATTTATTTTCTCTGAACATTTATGTAATGTCTTAAATCCCAGTTTTTTTTATATTTATGATGTTGTGTCTTGATGTGGGTATTTGTATATGTTGTGCTGGAATCTTGGTGGTCCTTTTCAATCTGAACATTCATGTTCTTCAGTTCTGGCAGATTGTCTTCAATATTTTCATTTATTATTAATTCATCACTTCTTCTAACATAGTTATAATTTTCAAGGGCTTTTTAAAAATTTCCTGTACCTTTTCATACCATCATACTTTATTTCTTTTTAAGTTGTTGATTTTTTCCCTCTATTTTATAGTCAGATTCTTTCAAGCTACTTTTTTTTTACTCTATCATTTATTTTAGAAGCTTTTCTCAGCTGTCTGATAATCTTTGGATGTTTATTCATATTTAAAATTCTGAGGATAAATGGGTGGTTTTAATGCATGATTAGTTATGGTTGACTTTAGTACAGTGTCATATTCTGGGCTTCTTAACTAGGGACCTTCTTACACTGGTCATATTTTTAAAGAAGACTTCTCTAGCTTCCTGCCAAGTGGATGAATGCTTGGCTCCTAGGAGCTGAGTAGAGGAAAACAGTTGGGTGTTTCTTGTACTAATTCACTTAACCCTTCTCTTTTTCATGTGGTATCAACATCACCTCTGTTTAGTCTTCCTCAGAGATTAAATAAAAAATAAACCACACTTGTACCAAAGTTGTGGAAGCCAGTCACCTTGTGTCATGGAGTTGATGAAGGGGATCTGCTTCCTTTTTAAATAAAATCACTTTTTATGTTAGATACATATATGGAAAACCAAAAGTGAAATTGCTACCAGAAGAGAAAAACCAGTATCACAACCAGCCATAAGTAAAAGATAACATATACACATACTTTGTTCATGTCCTCAGAAAAAATATTATGTACAGGTGGACCACATTTTGGAAAACATGGTATTATGCCATATGGCTTGTTCCCAAAGGTATATTTTTCAGTTCCTTAATTTATTTCATTTCTTTTGGACACTCAAGGCAGGTGGTATCTTAGATTCCCTTATACCAAGCAAAGAAGCTGGGAACACTAATTTTCTTTTTGTCAACAAAGTGTTTTATTTTACGTAATGGATTAATGTGATATTTGTCTGGAGGTGGCCATTCAGTTGTGCTCTCAGAATTATTTAGAAGGACTGCTTTCTCCTTTGTAATTTTCCCCACCGCTAGAACAGTGTTGTGTTTGAAGCTCCTTGGTGCAATTGTATGGTCCCTGTGGTTGTAAATTGTCTGCAACTGATGAGATTAATGCTATAATAATTTCTTATTGCTCTTACTTGTCTATAATTTTTGTTTTGTTAATGTGCTAATGGCATCTTGAGTGTTTAAACTGTACTAGAATATCTTTAAAATCTTCTAGCTTTTGCCACTGACCCAGGATGGATTTGAAATTATGGTGTTGATGTCAAAGGTGGTTACTTCTGTTGATTAAACTTTTCATTTTGTCTTTGCCATGATCACTTTGATGTAAAGGGAAAGCCTATAGCTTACTTTTTAAAATGTTTAGATGTGTAAAATGACATGTGTTGGAATATTGAGAAATCAGACAATTTCAAAATCATGATATGTAGTTATGTTTCTTTATATTCTTAAAGGTCCTCATTTTATAATAAGTACCAAATAAAATGTTGATTCTAAAATTACTGTGTGGTTCTTCATTTATTCTCTATGATCTTAAGAACCAACTTATCACCTTTCCTTAGACAATGATTCAGGAATGGAAAATTGAGAGGAAAGTTTGCATGGTTCAGTTAATTAATATTTATTGAAATTTCTATCTTTTGTAGCTTTTTATTAATTTAAAAAACACCATAGATTTTCAGCTTCCAAATATAGGCATTGTTTCCCAATTCACTAAAATCTGTAAAAGTTCATTTTCTTGATTAGAAATAAATCCTGTCATCTTTACAAGAAGACTGTTTTGCGTAATGTGCCTTTATAGACTGTGACCAGAAATGAGCAATTCTTCCTTTTCTTTCCCTAATTTGTAGGGTTTCTTATACATTAGTCTCCAAACTGGTCATTTTATGTGTAAATCTGAGGGGTATTCTGATCCCGCTTAACCTAGAACTGAACCAGAAAATGGAAAATGCCTTCTTAAAAAAAAAAAGTATATTTTTATTGATTTCAGAGAGGAACAGAGAGATAGAATTATCAGTGATGATAGAGAATCATGGATCAACAGCCTAGTGCATGCCCCCCAGG